TATATATATTGGTCTTTATATAATAGGCTGTTGTTTAGTATGTTTCAGTCCGCAGTCATCCTGTCGTAATACGATTTATGGTGGCTTTGGAGTACGATGGTCATGGTTTCGAATAACGTTTCCGTGTTGTGAATCTCTTTACTTAGATTTTTCGCTCTTTTGTTTCATTTCGCACTTCGTCTTTTGTTCTAAAATAAGATAAGAAAATTACCAGTTTATTATAATCATCATTATTTCTTTTCCCCGCAATATTGTTAACATCAGCGTCGTCGCCGTCGTCGTCTTTATAATTGCATCCTATCTAAATATATATATGCGCGGAAAATACGCGGCTCGGCCAGGAAGTAGGACCCATTGTGGAGTAATGTGATCGAGGCAACCGTGTGCGATTGGAGACGGTTCTGGCGCCGCCGGCTCAACGATGTCCATCACGTCGTCAATCATTATTATGTCATCAATGATGCCACGAGGGGCAGTCAAATTTTTTGATACTTTATTGTGCCATCTCGTCGGTGCCAGGTGGCGCACATAAACGCGGCGCGCATTGCTGTCACGTTCAACGGATAACATCTCAAAGGTGAGAACCCACCCTGAAAAGTAGTGGTACCGCGTCTCTGATAAACAATTAGTTGACGAGATGGCTGACGCCTCTCCTTGGCCGGCTACGATCCGCTGCAACTGCACAATCGCCTGTTGCCGCTGCTGGTGTTAGTAAGGGCGTAGGATTAGGGCTATCATCATAATTGTTATTAGTATTGCATTATTAGCATTATATTATTATTATTAGGAAACATCAAAAACTAGATTGATTTATGCATAGAATAAAAATCAACAAAAAGCTAAAAATAGTTTCATCACCCTTCAGCATCATCGACATCATTCTTATAATAATAATAATAATAATAATAATCATCATCATCATCATTAATCATGGCCGTTTCTCTAGCGTATTTTTCATTCTTCGGCGTCCTCTTCGTGTATGTTCATCCCATTTTGTGATGTTTCACTTTCGTAGCCTGTGTTAGAAGTTAGAAAACTCCCTGCAACAATCACGACGCCCTCAAACGAGCGTTTCGATGACCGTGGTACTTTTGCCTTTTCTTTTCATTTTTATTCCTCCCTCTTGGGCCGACAGGATCAACAAAAGAGAACTCTGCCGGAGAGGAAAAACAGGCTGTAGCATATGCTCGTTCTCGTTCTTTTATCCGTGTCTGTTTGTGTATGGAGCTCCTTTAAGGTCATTGGGTGTCACTCATCAAAGGTCATCATTGATTATAAGATTTCAGCCGGTTACTTCTCAATCAGCCGCTGCTATTATTCGTAGTGTTGTTCGCCATTATGAATATCACCGAGAATCGCCAATAGTTATTTCAAGCCACGTAAATCAGCGGGCTGCGAGTTTTTATTGCGTAGAGCTAAACCAGCAAAGAGACCAAACATAGGCTTCTCTTTTTTCTGCCGGTATTCAGCAGCGTGCACGCTCCGTCTCCATGATTCATGAACGTTGATGACTATATTTAGAAGAAAAAACATCAAAGGCTCCATAGATTATAGAGGTACACATATGGGTATATATGGTACACCAGTAACACTGTACTACGACGATACGCCCGGTAGCTGAGGCCCGGCCTCTTAGCCTCGCAGTCCTCTTCGAATGTCAAAAGCCTTTCCCAGCTTTTTACTAATGCTTTGCATAAATTCTAATAGTATTCCATGCCTTCTGGCGATAGACTAAGTAAAATCAATTGTGGTTCAAACATCGGGCCTGAACATAATGGATATGGGAAGGCGATAGATTGGCTAAAGGTCACTTAATTGGTGACATAGCGTTGGAGTTGTTCTAAAAGAACAAGTTTCGTTAGAATCATCCTTATCATCGTCCTCAAGATTGGATTTTCATCAACGTATTCGCAGTAGCACTAGAACAGCAATAGTACTATGAATGATTAGACAAAGGAAAATAGGTAAATGTGACTGAGCCTCTCGCATAGATGAGGCACAATTTCTATTTTCATATTATAGGTCGCACTGAAAACGGGACTTTTTAGGGTGATGACAGAATGGCGTTACAGGTGAGTGTAGTTGATATTGGTTGTTGTTCATTCTGATTGTTTGACCTCTTTATATGGCATATCACCATACTTGATTACTGTGTATATAGTGTGTAAGCATTTTGTGTGTCTGTATGTGGGTGTCGCAATGCCTTTAGAGATATATATATATATATATATATATATATATATATATATATATATATATATATATATACGTGGAAGGTTAGCAAAGGTCGATACAAGAGAACAATCAATTACTGCTTGACACTGGTGGAATGGCCACGCTTACCTCAATATACCTTTTTTTTGTCTGTCTTTGTTAGCGTATAGATAAACTCTTCATTTGCCCCGCTCTGCATTCTAGTACGACATGCTATTACCCACACAAATCGAAGAAGTGGATGGGAAAAAGTTGCATGGATTCTCACAATGTTGCTCAGCACTGCATGTGCTTGCAACATCTGGCTCTTTTTGAGTCGTCATTTTCTTTGCTAGTTGATGTCCGTTTTTCTTCGTCGCGTATTGTATCCCGGATTTCATTTTTCTTATTTTTTTCCGTTTCGCTGCTATATGACCTTGGTTTGACGTCGTCGCCTTGGCAGGCCCTTTGCAACTGATGCTGGAGCTCAATCGAGTTGCACGTCTATACCGTGTTTTTGCTGTTGTTCGTCAACAATGGTGAACCACTATTGCACTAATCGCTTGCTTGCGTCCATGTCTGTGTTTTATTATATCAACGCGCCGTTCAATATTTCAAGTTGTTTCACAACGAATCCATTAGCAGCAATTCTAAGTTGTCTTAGTAGTGGAAATATATGAGTACCTGCTGCGGTAATCATCGACCTTCATTGGGTTGTTAAATATTCAATTAGTGTCTATGTGAGTGTGTCGATGAACCATCAAGAATTAACCAGTCGTCACCTTTTTCGTCGTTTGTGTTGATTTTTTTATTATAAAAATGCTATCACACGAAATTTGCCGTTCGGACGGACAACAGACGGTCTAACCGGCTGGAGTGATCAGCCAGCTATCGCTTTGTCTGATCGCGGCAATCTGACTTAGATCGGTCGGTTCCATTGGCGCAGAAATCGAGTTGTAACATCTATCGTATATAAGTGTGTTAATATATATATATATATATATATATATATTAGTCATGGCTGGGTAGAGACAAGGAACAGGTAGGTATATGGGGGCAAAAATTGGGGTAGTGGATCTAGGGGGGTTTTTCAGGAAAGTTGGATCAAAGTCACTACGATTAGTTACTAGTAATCAATAACCAATTAGTTCAATCAATGACTCAATATTGAATCGCGCAATCAACCAATCAATACAAACAGTAATAACCCGCTGCTGTGTCGTCGGGTTACCTATATGCTATAGGAGATTTCTGAAATTGTCGTTCTTTCCCTTGATTAATGTCACGTTTTCGCTATCATCATTATCACCATTGTCATGTGGTATACGCATAAGTTGTGTACGGTCTTGCTCTATTTTTTTTTTGGATAGACACCACCATAAGTTATGATGCCGTGGCTGTCGTTCCACTTTACCGTTTTTAGCGAAAGTCGTGCAAGGATCAAAGCTGGTACGACCTGTAACTTAACGACATCTGGCGCAGGTGAATTAGGTCAGACCAGGCGCTTGCCGCCATCATTCGACCTTCATTGCACGTTATTAAACTTGAATTGGAGTCAACCGTTGTCGTTTGACGTCTTGCCTAGACGAGACGATTTTAGCCTCTGCCGTCTGATAGCATCGTCTATTCGTGAAAACGCTTTCGCCAGTAGCAGAGCAGGTGACTCCTGTTTGTCACAAAGAAGGAGCACTCTCCTTGATCTTTTCGTTTCAACATTCTTTTTCTTCCTTTCCGTGTGTCACGAGCAATTAGCTATTTATTTCTAGTGGTGGTATTTGTTATCCTCCGCCTCCCACTCATTAATTATATGACGTGCCATGTTTCAGGTTTATTTTCATCTGATATATGAGCATCGTCTTCACTCGTTTCCGAGTTTCTGTATCCCGTTCTTTCGAATCGCTGGCGACGTTACCCCCAGACATTATCAAGGTGATTCTCATCTATACACATGTGTATATATGTAGATGCTTGCTCATATCCACGCTATCTACGGTAAGTATTATAGAAAATAAATAATTATAAGTTACAAAAACATGATGTCATCACAAGGAGGCTGGGAGCCAAGCCAGTCGGGACTTGGTCCCGCTGACGTCGGCTCCTTTAGGCCGGCGGCGGTGCGCTCGCGACGCGTTTCTCTAGGGGGCACCAGTTCACCTTTTTCACTTATGAATTCCCTTCTTTTAGCTTTTTTTTTCTTGATTTCGCTTTTGGACGCGCTCTCTCAGCTCGGCCATATTTCTGCAAGTATTTTCCTATAGTATGTTCGTTTGTCACTTGATGCTGGCCACATCCGCTCCACGTTGATTTCCTACTTCATCTGAATTCGACTGGGGAGGGATTACGGTCAGTATGAGAGCGTACATAGTACACGGTACTGTTGCTACGAACTAACAAAATCATATCGCAGCGATGGTGCCAGTGCCCTGAATATGTGCATCTCTGCCAGCTATTTCATCGTTTTATTATACTACATAGTGTTATCATTGTGCTATCATGGTTGTCGTCTGTAATAATTGCTGTTTCTGTAGACGAGAGTGTTTGCTGATTCTCTGAGTTCGCTTACTTTTTGCTTTTGCTTTTTGAGTAAGATCTCGCTTTGACCAAATCCTCAAAAACGTTTCGTTTCAAAGGGCCAACTGGACCACCGCCGGCGCTGACAAACTGGGTCGCGACGGGGTACATGTGGACCCCACCTGATCTACCTCTTCTGAGGCGTTTAGCTTGTGCTTTTCGTTTGCGATAGAAGGATACGGGTTTGTTTATGTCGGAAACAAAGATAAGAGTTCTTCTCTCAGCTGTGTAACATCGAAATATCTATCACCATTAGATTATTGGCATTAATTTAGTATCAATAGTAGCAGTAGGATTAGTTATTAGTAAAAATCGATGGTCGGCATGTGTTAGCGGCCTCTCTTGTCCCGCTGCATGTTCAGGCGGACGGGAAATTCTATTTTAGTCGCGGCTCGGCTGGCTTAGACTTCCGTCAGCGTCCAGTCTACGCAGCAGTTGCCTGATGTGACGGCTTCCTGTGTTTTTTCTACCAGAATACCATTGTGGAGAATAGTTAGACGGATCAGCTTAGCCGAGTACGCCGTATTCTCTGCGCTGAGAGCGCGAAGCCTGTATACAGATGTGCAGATTTTTTAAATAAGAACTCGTGACCCGGTACAATCGATAACATACTGTTTGAAAGTCCGTTGTTGTCATTGTTGTTTTGAGTCCTTTGCAACGCCACTGACCTCCTGTTGAATACCTGTTCAGAGGCGACGGGCGGCACCCAGTACGCTAAGTATTTTACGTTGCGTTTGCTGCTTGCGTCACATGGATTGTTCTCCATGCTTTATGATCTTCGCTGTAGTTGTCATTAGTATAGGTATATTGCGTAGGCAATTGGTTCGCAGACTGATGTGTTGTTAGGGTGTCTACGATACCGGGGTCTAGCACCACCTAAATGGTACGGTGCGCGGGCGATCGGCGCCCTCCTTGACGAGCGGTTTGTGGAACTCCCGCCCAGGTCGCGAGTGAATCGTGGCCCAGCAGTGCTCACAGTAGTACTGCAAGCAGGTGACGTTGGCACAGAAAAACGGTGCAAATTTCCCACCACAGCGGGCTCCCTGGCACTCATCACACATCTGATCGTCTAGAACGTACGGCTTAACTTCCACCTGGCGAGAGTCGAGCACAACGACGAAAGTCAGGTATGACAGGGTGCCGAACGTTAAAAGAAACAAAAAACCGAAACATTTTTGTTAGTATTAAATTTTTTTTAAGTATAGGTGAATCGAGCAGATAAGGGGCGCTTTTTTCGTTTACAGGCATCTATGTAATGTATATCATTATATTAGGCATTAGAAACAGAAGGGGTCGGTAACATCGAAAGCTTATGTACTAAAGCTAACAGCTTTGGGTCCTATCTATGAATATGTAACAGACAGAACAATTATAATTAATATGTGATTATTCAGCCAATATATTAGAAGCCATATCATGTTCTCCAACGTATATATATATATATATGCACGCTACTTTTGAATTATATATTCTTTAAAATGAAAGGGCGTTCTTTTCCTCATTACCTATTTACTTAGTTGTGCTGTTATCCTTGTCGGAAGTTTTAGTATTCGTTGGGATGCTTGAAATACCCTTTGCAATAGTTATGGGTTTGATCAATATTGGCTTGATCAATTGAAAAGTGTTATTCTGTTATAGGATTGAACTAGGGTTTTAACAGGTCTTTTTACACTATGTCTCTATAAAATTCGTATTTTATTTATGTGAATGTGACGGATAAATATGAAATGCTCTGCAAATATTTACTCAGTATCAAACATCATCACGCGGCTTATGTGACACCTAACAGGTTAGCCATTTTCTGCCAACGTTAACAACTTAAAACTAACTTATATCTAAAAATCTATTCAATGAAAAATCTCGGTCAATATATACCTAATTTACGAATTTTCAGTAACAAAAAGAAGAGAAATGTAAATTAATTTTCATTGAATTTACCCTTGAATCCCGCTTTAGTCTGCTAGACCTGTTGTTTCTCTTACCCTTTTTTCGATATCGCCGTGTTGAAGTTGGACAAAACGAGCCGAAATAGCTGCTATATAGCTTTGTTGGTTGGAGAATGCCACTCGGCCAGCGCCTTTTGGGTATTTGAGTTCAGGATCAGTATCGATGCCTGCATAGCACACACCGCCATATAGTCGGTCCATGATCATTGCTAGTTCCACTGAAATAGGTACGAACGAAGACAACAGGTCGTAGCACGATATTGTTAATAATTCAACACCGATGGCAGTATGGTTAGTTATAATCACTGCATTATATATATCTCGGGAGGAAACTCGGTCATCGGAAACACCGATGTATAAGTATATATATATATATATAAATATAGTAAAATGAATCAACTTTTAGTTCTGTGATAAAAACTGCTTTTCTTTAGAGTAGGCGAGGCAGTTATGCCAGATCCCCAATTGATAGTCTTACTCCATCGGTGCGTAACCCTAGGAAACATGGCTGCATACGCCTCTGGGGAGTGGACGAGCAATACATGATTACATTATGACCCGCCTAGTAGGGCGGGGATTTTGACGTCCATGAGGCGATCCTGTTTAAAGTAGCATAGAACAAAACGTTTATTGAACTCGGGCTAATACGAAAAGCCTAGCAAGTATTACTTGTTAGTACTGCGCGGTATTACAAACATGTTTCGAAAACGGTTCAGTGGTATCGTCCGTATATATTGACCTTGAACGTAATGCCGCCAGCACGTCATACGCGCGCTACGCTATATACTGTTAGGCGGTACGCTGAGTTTTCACTTTCTGATTTCCTCCATTTCAGCTATCCTTTGGCCGTACTCTCGTAGCGCTTTTATGAGCCCTTTTGGCCTCAAGCGGGCATACTTCTGTGCCAGTCTGCCAGGGCCGCCGCCTTTCTCGCCCACCCAGTATACGCATCAACAACAGCGTGCGCCAAAGCCTAAATGGACTTGCCAGCAACAGCAAGCTGTTGCGTGTCATTAACGTGCGCTGCTTATGGGGGAGCAAATACAGGAAATACTGGAAGTTGCAATGCTTACCTAGGCAAGAATCGAGCGTAACTGCTGCCGAATGTCTAGAACAAGCCAACTGGCTTGCTACAGTTTCTGTCGTCGACATCACTGTCTCGTTCGCAGTTTCTACAGCTTTGATAGACGGTGCACTGCTAAATAGCCAGCTTCCAGTCAGTGAGCGAGTTAGCCGATTCCCTAGCTATCCCACCTCTCGCTCGAAGAGGCGGGCCTCTAACGGTTTATGTGTAGAAGCGACCGACAAAATTAGGGCCACCACTCAGGTACTCTTACCATATCGCCGTATGTTCGACTCGACTTTGAAACCCTCGGAGTTTAAGATCCCCAATGAGCAGGGGAAAGAGAACCGAGTATGCTGTCGACTACCGCATGTAAACTTTTCCACTGCACTCTTAATACGCGCATGCATACTGGTTGTAGCACGTAATGGAACGTTCAGTGTGCAGCAACACCGTCCAACACCGCTTCCCGCAGCTGATCCTTTCTCACGGCTGTTCGTTGCAAACTTCTCTAGTGACACGGGTGGCACTACGTGCCTAAGCCAAGACAACATCGCCATTGCTCCCCTCATTACATAGGTCATCATCACACGACTCATATATGTATGTGCGCCTGCTTATTGTTGACGAAGTTACTTACAAAAAACAAACGAACCTCCAAATATAGATGTTTCAACAGCGTCACAACAACAGCACCTTCTGCTTTGGTAGCTGACAGTTCCATCATATCCATAAAGTTGCTTATGTTTGCTTTTACGTGGTCGTGTTAGTATGGCATAGTGCCGGTAAGGTAGTAAGGGAGCCGGTCAATGGCGGGTGTTTTGATTCATAGTGGCAAAGATCAAGTAGACATCATGCTATCATTTTGCCATATTCTATTTCTCTCTAGTCTAACAACAGTGTGCAGCCTGTTTAGCCAACGGCTCCTTTTTTACTATGTAGCGTTTATGTCTGACCTGTGTGGCATTCGATAATACAATACATTGTCGTCGTCCCTTTCGACGGTTTTCTTTGAAAATCTTGGAGAGCGTACACTGCTAAGTACGTGCATACAGGTCTAGCATATAGTCACTACAAACAACAGTTCGCCCAGAACAGGCCACTGGACGATGTTCTTCAAGCAACGCTATCCAGTATTGACATTTCGGGTCATCTTTTGCCGCAGCATTGGCGTCGGCAGAGTGAAAGAATGAAGGACAAAATAAGTAACCAGTTTACAGCTCGTAGCCAACGAATGCTCTTCCAAAGACGAGCTGAACTGGAATCAGTAATCGGCCGACTCCTCTTCCTTGCGATGACTGTGGGTGTCTTACAATCATATTCCAAGACAAAGGAGTTTCTAGATATACGCTTTTGTCGCTGCTCGACTGCGTATTTAGTGGTATGCATAAGGTGGGAACTCCGTAAAGCCGCAGTGCTTTTCGAAGTCTTGATGCTTCGTTCAGGGCTTGCCCAATAGCAATAATTTAGAGTTCCCCATAGACGTACCTCGGATTACTACTGGTTCGGTAAACGTGGAAAGCGCTGCCTGAGGCGTGTTCACCGGCCATTAAAGTCTACCAACAGCTGGCAAACAATCAGAGGACGGTAACACGGCATCGCACTCGCTTGTGCTAGGAACTTTACCGCGCTTTGCGTTGGGATTCCAGCGTAGCGCTGCTCAATTGTCTAATCTCAGGCCGCATAATCTAAGGCATAGCGGCCTGCTTTGGCCGCAACGACTGTGCCATTTCCCTAACTACCTTTTCATACCTCCCTGCCGCACATGTCCCCGTATACCCTGCTTTGTGAGGGTACTGATGTCGTCGTAGCGCAGCAGAGCACAATATTCGCTGACGTCGCGATCGCGTGGCCCAACGAGGATCAAGTCAGGCCTTGAGGAGTCGGGAGTAACAGTAGCAGCAAGCGACCGGAATTTGGTTGAGAAAAAGCTTTCGGAGAGAGAAAAGACCGCCCCCTCGAGTTTCCTGCTGTTATTAGGTTGCTGGCGTTGCTGCAACTAGCCGGTCGGTTTAGCTGACCGCTAACCGTCGTCCTCGTCGTCGTCTTTGTCTTACATCAAAAGCGGTAGCCGCGGCAGTAGCAGCGATGCCGACAGCCGCAGGCGGCAAATCAATTTTAACGCTTGTCGCCTCGACTGCAATTCCAGTTTCCTCCAACTGGACGTCCTGCTGCGGTTGCTACCGGTATCCGGAAACCTGGAGCAGCAGGCAACTCCCAAAGAGAATAGCACCAGTCGACGGAGAAGATAGCCGGAGAAGGTTGGAGAAAGCTCTGGCTAAAACGGGAGTGGCCAAACCCAGAAAAAGGGTTGTCAAAGGACCAATGTAGAAGATGTGGCCTCTTTTACTGATGGTGTTTAAGGTTGACGGTCTCCGTTTCGTCAGTGTCAGTGGAAACGACGATGTACGATTGGCGACGCGTACGACGACGCAGAGACTAAGAAGCCACTACTAGTACGACTATTATTACTGTTATGAGAAGCCGCAATGCGACTAAAAGACTCAATTTAGCGAGTTAGAGGTAGCATTGCAGTCCACAAATTACCTTTTTAATGGTTGGCTAGGTAATTACAATCTATGCATTGTATGGGCCTTGCAACACTACTGCTTCTGCTTTCAGTAAGGCTACAATATTATGCTTGAAAGGGGGGCAAAAAAATGGTGACAAACAGCGATCTGAGATTAGATAAAACGAAGATGATCAGACAGGCGTTTAATTTTGCTTTTGAAAAAACTATGTAGGGACATTGCTTGACTGGCGAGCAACAACACTTTGTAGAAGAATTGCTTTTCTTTCGTTTGAGAGGACAGAAAGATTATCACACATTGGTTGGCCACAGGCAACTACTACTACTACTACTACTTCATATTCAGACCCACGAACCGGTTTTCTACGTGAGCTACCGACAAAGGATGAAATCGGGTGCTCGGTCGTGTCGAAATGGCTTATGAAGGTGGCTGCAGTTCGCTACTGACAACTGTTCCATACTATCAGCCACCATACTATCAGTATTAGGAGAAATAGCAGAAGTTTTAGCAGTGGCAGATCCTGCCATTCAGTTGAACGGCAACTTCTATCTACAATATCGAGAGAAGAGGATTGAGCGGGAACTTTGGAGCGTTCGTCAAAGAAGACACCAAGGATGGTAAGCACACCAGAACACTTTTCAGCTAAAAAGCGCAATAACCTCGTATGTTTTCTCTGTTTCTATGCTTAAAGGCGCTCGCTTGTTCCTGCTCCGAACAGGAGCGGGCCGTGATTATGTTTTTCGGCGATGAGGATCGCTGTTGGAACAGTAGGATCAGTCATAGGAATGGCAATGCGAATCCAACTACGAGCTATTTCCAATAATAAAAATAAGAAAAATATCGCCGTTTCTGCTGCTGTTGTTCACGCTGTGGTTATTGTGGTTTTGGGCGTTATAGTTGCTACTGGTGTTGCCATCGTCATAGCTATGGCAGCATAGCCACTATTGACGTGTCTTGCCGGAAGCAGTCGTTATTCGTTGGTCGCTGGTTTGTTCTTCTTCCTTATTTTCGTCCGTTCTTCTTCGAACCGCCTCACGACGACGCGTTTGCCAACTCAATAGTGGTAGCTGCAATCATAGGGGAATCGGGATGGGATCGGTGGAGGCCAGAGGCGACGCTTCTAACTCGTCCACAGAAGATCGACCGACCGAGCGTACCGGGTAGTGGATTACACAAAGCGAGGTAGAAAACGGTGTGAAGGAAAAAGCAACGATGAAAAGAATAACAATCGACCATCGTCCGGGTAGTTTTACGAACAGAGAGAAAGGGACAGAGTGACAGCTATGAAAGGAAACAAGGGGCAAAAAGAAACAAGGGCTGGCTGAGCTAGCAGACAAGCTCGTGGAGGAAGGACGAATATACGATAGAGAAAATTGAATTACAGAGAGAAGCAGAAGAAACGTAGAAGGCGAGGGCGAGAGAGCAGAAAAAAGAGGATCTAGAAACGCCACGTTGACGCTGAGTCTCAAATCAGCGTCAGCAGCAAGGGCAGCGGTTGCGATGACTGTAACGAAGGGTACCGCAAGCCCTCGCAGCAGCATTCGGCGGCCCTGTTCCTTGCTTATCCGCTCGCTCGTCTGAAGAAATTAAGTGAAAATTAAATTTCAAATATTGCGTTCCGCAG